CCGGCAGCACAGCCCCGCCGACACCGAAATGTGAACCGGGAGGAGTGCGTCCCTGCCAGCACCTAGGAGGGGAGCGGAGAGACAAGGGAGGGCAAGCGTTTTCTATGGACAGTTAGAGAATTGAAGATCTTTTTTTTTATTATTATGATTATTTCTGTGAAGGACTTCAAAATCAGCCTAAAGCACATGAAGCTCCAGAGCTGCCAAAGACCTGCTTCTCCGCCTCCTCCTCCTCCTCCCGTTGACCACACAAGACAGTTTTTCACAGCTGTTCTCTGCTTTTGTTGTTAGAAGAACATAATGAGAAATGGAAGTGCCCTTAGCCCTGACCAGCTTTTAAGCAGAAGTAGACTGAAGCTACAGAAGCCTCGAGCCAGACTCCAAACAGGCAAAATTTTTGGTGGCAGTGCGTTAGGCTGATTAAAATAGTTAAATTGGGATTTCAGTGACAAGAACCTCTCAGGTTTCAGATAATTTTTGTTAACAGAGTTATTTTTTATCTCATCTTTATGTTTAACTGCAGGATTCCTTCCTCTTTTAAGAACATCAGGCATTTAATCCCCCTTCTCGTGCTTTATGTCTTTAGTATTCCCTACTCCAGCAGAATTTGCTGAAGCTCTGTGTAAAACGTGGAATTGAAGGTTTAAATGTGAACAGACCTCAAACTTGTTTCTTTTTTACTCCTACCAGTATGCAGGCAGTTGTTCTAGAGTAAAATCTTCCCCGGACTCTGCATGTCAGGGACTGGAGACGGCGTTTGACGAGGCAGAGCCAGCACAGTCACCTGTGAGAGATGGGGAACATTTGATATGGGTTGGGGCCAGCAGACCCCCCCATCCTCCCTCCTGACATGCCGGGTGGTGCCTTGGGTCAGACTTTGGGAATAAATGACCAAAGGGCTCCCAGTGGGATGAGCACTAGGCAGAAACCCAGCTCTGCATGCAGAAACTCTGCATCAGCAGCGGGTATGTGACCAAAAAGATTTTCTCTTTGGTAAGTGAAGGCCAACACTGCACCCATCCTGGCCCTGCACCCGTCCTGCTCCCGAGGCACGCGGTGCTGCGAGCCCCATCGCCGGGGCTGAGCCACGTGCAGCTCATTCCTGGGGAGCCAAAGCTGTTGCACAAGCTCCGTGTCGATGGTGCAAGAGCACGAGAGGCTGCAGCTCGGAGCAGAACCTCTGCTGGCACCTCCACGTGCAAAATAAGGACCGAAATAGCCCTTGGAGCAGATCTGCCCTCTCGCTAGGGAGTTTATCAAACCTTTTCTCAGTTCTGAACACCTTTTTTTTTTTGGTACAGTGGCTTAAAGGACTGGCAGCAATGTCCATCACTATCTGGGGCTGTATTCATGGGTGCGGGAGTCATTTAAACACAGTTTAAAACATTTCAGATTTTTGTTTGTTTTGTTGTGAATTGTTTCTCCCAAATCTCATTGTAAATAATCCCAACTGAAAAAAAAAAAAAAAAAAAAAATGTATTAAAAAAAAAAAAAACACTCTCCCTCTTTTTAAAACCAGCGTGTTTATCCCACCGGGACGCGTGGCTCTGGCTGCGCCGAGTGCCAGCGCGAGGCCAACGCCTCACCGAGAGGTTGTTTCCCAGCAGAAACACTCTGACTAAAGGCTGTGGCTTGTTCTGGGCACATTTTCCCTCTCTTTCAACAAACACGTTTGCAGGACAAGTGACATACAGCACGTTGTTAAACCTCGTTCGTTTGTTTTTTCTGCTGTTTAAGATGCCCAGATAATTCCTGGAGAAATAAATGAGGCTCCAGCCTCATGGAGTGATCCGTGGGGCTGGGGTCTGACCTGACATCGGGGCGGGGGGTGTGCATTAAGAGGAAGATGAAGATGAAGATGAAGATGAAGGCTTCCTCACCCTGTTAACCGTGCAATAACCAGCGTTGTTCCTGCCTCGCAGAATTTGCAGGGCGATGCACAGCGGTCCTTGGTGCCTGTTCTCCTGGAGATGCTCGAGCTCCACTGCAAGCAGGGGGTTTGGGGCTGGGGATCTCTACGGACCTGGTCCCCTCCTCTCTGGGATGCCCAACCCTGCACACTGGGTATTTCTGGGGGGCACTGAATTTGGCTAGAAAGCACTGCTGCCACTTTTGTTCTGGTTGGGGGTGCTCTGACCTCCACAGCCTGGCTGCAAGGGGAGCAGATGCAGGAAAATGAAATTCCTTTCTCTCCCAAGAGCTCCAGGGAAGCTCTCCCGGAGGCTGCTGTGACCCGCAGAGCAGGATAGGGAGCTAGGGTCGGCTTTTTTTTTAATTATTTTTTTTTGGCAATTGCTTATCTAATCAGCACTGCTCGCTATATCGAAAAGAGGAGATCTAATCAAATGTCAGGTGCATTTTTCACAGCTCAGGGTATGTCCTACAGCCAAGCAGCAACAATACAGTTACAGTCAATTGCTTTGGCAGAACAAAAGCTTTCTCTAAAACATCCAGATTGAGGGAAATGCCGAGAGCGGCGGTGGCTGAGCAGGGCCGGTGCCGAGCCAGCGGAAAAGGCTGCGCTTCCAGCTCAGGAAGTTTTTTGCCCGTGTGTAAACAGAGGCAGGCTCAGCTCTGGCCCTGCCGAAAAGGGAATTATTATTATTCCTTCCTTATCAAACCCCTTGCATTCCTTCCTCGCCGGTCCCACCGGCTGCCACGCAACCTCCTCCTCTCGCCATCCTGCACTGCCTGTGGGCTCGCAGCTGCTTTTGGGACACTTTGGGGGGGCTTTTGGGGGGCTAGAGCCATCTCAGCTTCCCAGAAACATGGTTCAAGGTTGACACAGGGGCTCTTGCCTG